TAGGGAAAGGAGCAGGTGAATGTAGAAGTGGTCCTGGTTACTTTAAGTTCTGTCCCCTACAGGCCAGCATAGGATGTGATGCCATTGTTTAAATAATGGTTGTGTTGGTGTTCCAGTCAGGTGAACTGACACCTTTATTCATCAATAAAAGTTTTAGAAATTGAACATTAGCAAGATTGTGGATTTCAGACATAGAAATAAATAAAAATACTAGAGATTGTTAATATTGGCTGTAACACGGACTCCTTACTCGCTTTAGAAATCACTTAGCACATTTGGATTCATTCTAATAATTACAAAACTTTGAGGGAATGATGTATACGTGTGTCCCAAGCCTCAGTCCTCAGAACAGTTTTTCAGGGTTTTTTAAGGATACAATTTTTATTTTGTCTGTAAGTGTAGTAACTTAAACCACCTCCCCCCCAACCCCTTCTTCACCCCCTCCCCACCAAGAAAAAACACCCCAAAAGGACATAGGAGAGCTCCTTGGTCTAAGAAACCTGAAACTTGAACAATAGACCTGAAAGACAAATAATACAGAACACATCTGGGAAGGAAAAGGACAAACTCCTCTTCTCCCCTTCCCCTTTGCTTCTATGGATCTCTTCCCAGTTCCTCAATTGTCAGAATAAATATAAAAAATCTCTTTAGTGCTTTATTTCATGAAGGTATTGTGACCGCTTCAGTGTGGGAGGAAAAATTGGCCATTAGAGCAAATTGTGAAGGTTCTAGAAATGTACTTGTGACTGGTAACTTTGGAAATTAAATCATGAAATGTTGGTACCATTAAAATCCATCACAAAAATGTCACCAACTTCAGTAGTTCCAGGTTTTTGCACAAGAGGAGGAATATATAGAACTCAATATAGTTGAATTATAACTACATTAAATCCTTGTTCAAAAGGAAATACTAAAAATGCCATTAATGTTGCCCTGTGTGAAATGACATCACCCCTAGAAATGACCTAAATGACAATCAAGTGGTGCTGCCCAGCTGGAGTCACAAAGGGTAAATTTAGTGAGAAGACAGCACCTGAAGTATGTACCTCAGGGTTTTTGCCAACTTTATTGTTGAACAGTAAGTTAGATCACTGATGCTTCACTGTCTGTAGGGATTTTTTTTATAGAAACTTAGAATATATAGAAACTTAGTATTGCGGGAAGAATATTTTACTTATCCCAAAGCATTTGATAAGTCCCTTTGTTTCAGTAAACAAATCAGTAGTATCATCAGTTGCTGATGTGCCTGTATAAACTACTGTACATATACTCATTCTGTCTGGTGGACCTAATGAGAACTGCTCAACTGTTGTAGATTACATATACTAATAAGAGCTAGTAGAGATTTTATTTACCTTACGTATTGAGGGTTTCAACCTCTTTTTTTGTTGTTGTTGCTATAAAGCTATAGCTGGCTAAAATGTGCAGGATAGTTGCAAACATGACATTCTTGTAACAAATCCATAGCCATTTAATAACTTGTGAATTAATGCCAATGAACCACCAGCCATGTTTGTAGTATAAAAACAAATGCATCGCAAGTTGTCAGTTGAAAAAGTGCAACTTTAATTTGTTTTAACAACTCTGAATTTCAGCATGATGAGAAATTATGGTGGTTCATATTTTTAAGTAAAAATTATGACACGGGCAACAGACAAAAAAATGTACAGAGAGTTAAAAATTCATTGCGTTAGTAAGCCTTCTGAATATCACAGGGCTGTCTGTTTTATTATTTTGTTACCATGCAGCGTAACAGAACTTTTGGGCCATGCTCTGATTTCCCTGTCCCTCTGTAAATACGGAACAACTTGATTGAGGATATCAACGTTTTTGATTTAAATAATGGAGGACAGTAGAGTTAGTCTGGGTTTAATATATAAATAAGATCAAAACCTGGCTTCATGTTCAACAGCTAGTACAATACACTGGAATGAGTCATAGTTTTGTTTTGTCTTGTGTGTGTCTACCTTCTTAATAACTGTTAAAATTGATTAAATATTCATGTGACACTTTTCAGAGTCCAAGCAATGAAGTAGTTTGTGTAATTATATTCTTGTTAATGTGACAGATGACCAGGGATCATGGTTTTCTCTGATTTAAAAAAAAAACAAACCAGTTTTTGAATGAAAAAAATAACCCCAAATCCCTATTTTTGCAAAATTAAAATGAAATGCCTCTTGAGTGCAGATGACATATGCTGATTAGTTATAGTCTCAACTACATTTCAGTAAATTATAACTAATCAGCATATGTCATCTGCACTCAAGTGCTGTTTCATTTTAATCATGCAAAAATATGGATTTGGGTTGTTTTTTGTTTTTTTTTTAAAATTGGGGATTTTTTTTAAATCGGAAAAACGAGGATCCCTGCAGATGACACATGGTGATTTGATGCAAAAAGAGAAGCTCCGTTTCCTAACTTGTAGTTGGGGCTATAGTATAATCATTGAAACCAAGAGACATGGTGAAGAAAATCTTCCCTGCCACAGAGACCAGGGGGGTCCCTCTTGGGGTTCTGTGGTGAAGGAAAGGGAAGACAAAATAAGGAGAATCTTGATAGGGGGTTGTTGTTTCTGGGGTTATTATAAAGGGTGAGGATCCTTTTGTAAAAAATAATGAGTCTTCAAAGAAAAATGTTGCTTCCATTTCAAAGAAGGAAAACAAAGGAATAGGAGTCTAGTTGAACTGTTTACCTTTTTATGCAGTTTATTTTCTCTATCTGCAATACCTTTGTGATGTCATAAAGGAATAAGATGTGAGGTAGTATTTGTATGTACTTCATCATTGACATCAAGCAGCACAATGAAACAAAGAAATAGTGAGATCCTGGGCAACACATGACATAAATATCTTATTACAGTAAACTGTAACCTTCAAGTTAATAAATTGTATTAATTTGTTTAAATAAAATTATATATCTTGGGGAGCTCACAAAAAGATGTTAAATAGGAAGTTCTGAATTCTGGATAGGTAAAAGAATCACCTCTAACATGCATCATTCCTCGCTTTAGGTTGCAGTTGGCCGTGATCTATTATAAATTGATGTAACTTGTGAGAGTTGCGAGTCTACTTTAAATTACATCGAACGCCAGAGTTTGGAGTTTCTCCCCTTTCAGTTGTTCCAAGGACCTGGCTGAATGTGTGACGTTCAGTCACTGGAAAAGCATATTTCACAATGACACTTCAGTTTGCATGTATCTTAGTAATAAGCAAAGATTTTATGCTTTTCCAGAAAGTCTTTTTTGATTTACCTTATGGGTTGTAAATTGTACATGAAAAGCATTTAATGGTATCAAACGTACACATTATATAACACCAACAAGAAGGAACACAACTATAAATTACGATAGAGCAGGCTAAAAAAAATTTTTTTTTTTTTTTTTTTTTTTTTTTTTTTGCCTCTGTGGCCCTTCACAATCCAAGCTGCTGTAAAGAGAAAGCCTTCTAAGCCTGTTCAAGTTGCTCTTTAGACTATCTACCTTTCCTCTCCATAGGTCTTCACTACAGCTTTCAATAACAGTAGTAAATTCAGACATCATTTGTCTAGGAGGAACTGAAATCTGAAAGTAATGATGACCCCTGAATGTATTACCTGTTGTTCTTCCCCTTCTTTGTTGAAGTGTCTTATGAGTTTTTTCTCTGGGTGAGGGAGAGAGATTCCCTTTGCTAGAAATGTTGGAAACCAATCATACGCACCTTTTCATTATGTAGTTTTTCCTAGCTCTTTTTAAATAAGTCAGTAACAAAATTGACTTATCAGCCTGTGCATACACAAGTGTAAGAGTGACTGGGATTAATGTTTTGTGGCACTTAATTTTTTCTTTATTTGTCATCAGGTCACTGTACAGGTACTAACTAATCTTTGCCATGGGTAACCAAAGTAACAGAGCCAAAGCAAGCTGATTTGCCTCTGTCTACAGTAAATCAAGAACCTGCATAGAAAACATTTGAAATGTCCTTGCTTCTGGTCTGTGTTGCAGGGCACTAAGGTTCCTGCTCCTTTAAGGGCAGAAACTGCCTAGAGAGAGGGCCCTAGCAGCCAGGCAGAAACCCCACAGGTGCAGGTTACTGTGGCAGCAGGCTAATGAGGGAATTAGCCTGTACCTGCACCCAGTCAGCTGACTGGAAAAAGGCAGGGCCCTGGGCATAAACCCCAGGGCTGTGACTAGAGGTTTAGTTCCCTGGCAGCAGCCAAGGGGGGAAGGAGCTCTCATAGAGGAAGCTACTTGGAGATGCTTCACTGCCTGTTCTGATGCTGGTAGGATTAAGGGGCTATAGGAGGTCATAAGTGGTGGTGGGGAAGAGGCCCATTAAACTGAAAGAGACAAGCTTGCTGCCTTAAAAGGGATGGAGTGTGGACCCTAGGTTATTGCTGTATTGTAGCCCAGGAGCTTGTGCTTTCTGTTGTTATTTAAACTGCTGGAGACTATTGGGGAGGAGGAGGAGGAGGCCTCACTGGGGCACACTACAGTGTGGAGACCCCAGCACCAGAGGGGGGTGCCGCGAGAGGGGGAGAGCAGACCTCAACGCCAGCGGGCTCAGTTAATGAGGCTGGACTAAACTGAGGCCTCAACATGAGAAGACAACGTCTAGATACCATCTGCGAGGCATGGGGTGTGATAAAGGGTCAGTTTTGGAGTCACGCATCTAGCCCGTAAGGCTTGGGGGTATCATAAGGCACCTCCTGAGTGTGGGACCCAATAAGAGATCTAACAACCTACAGGGTTTAGAGGAATCTGTCAGGACTGTGACCAAGCAGGAACTCTAGGGCAGCCTCCCGATCCATCACTTATACCAGCAAGACGTGGCAGGTGAGATTAGTAGGTGCCTGTAGGGCACCGTGACCATGCCAGCTCTGCCCTAGGGACATCACCACCATCCCTGGGGAGGCCATATCATGACAGTCTCCTAGATTGTTTTGCTTAGATCATAGTGACTTAGAAACACTTTCAGGGTAACTTGCAGGCAGTATTACTTTACATCTATCCCTATCCAAGCTAAGGCATGATAAAGAGTACTATGCTGGGGAGGTAAGTAATTTTGTTTACAGACTGATAGTAAAACATGGACTGGAAAGTTAGGAAAATAATAAATTCTGTATAGTAACTCTGACTTTGCACTTCTTGTTTCATACATTTTTTTAAAACTTGGAAGTATAAGAGTACAGCAAAAGCTTTGTTATCTGGCATCCATTGGGAATGGGGGGTGCCAGATAACAAAATATGCTGGTTAACTGAGAGGCCTGAACAGGTATCTTTGCCTGTTCAGGCTGCCATCTCTCCCGCTGCATCCGGGGCATTGCTGCCCCTCCCGCTGCATAGCCGCCCCTCCTGCGGGCCCCGAGGAACAGGGAGGCAGGCCCTGTGCAGGCTGCTATGCCCCAGGCCATGGGGGCTCGGCAGCGTAGTGTGCGCTTTGCCCGGGACTGTCAGGGCTCAGTGAAACCGGATGTGTCATGGTGGGCACTTCCGGTTTCGCTTTTACCTTACAAGCTAGCATGCCAGTTAATAGAGCGTGCCGGCTTGTAAGGTGCTGGATAACGCAGCTTTTACTGTAATTGGTCTGAGAATATAACAATTTCAGAAGTAATAAGAATCTTGAACCATGGCTGAATGAATGTGTCTGTTATTAACTTAGACCTGAAGTGTTACAAGATGGACTTCAGTATGCTGCAGCAATGTTTTCCAAACCTCGTGGGTTTACACCCAACAGTATAGAACTTCAGCAGTCTTGTGCTGCCTTTGTCACTGCTTCCAGTTGTTGCCAGTTATCCTCTGCTGCCAGTTGCTCTTGATGCTCACTGATGTACAGTTGGTCGTGGGGAAAGTGGCAGCTAAAGTGAGGAGGTTGGGGGGAACTGCAGATTTGCCATTGTGATTTGCATGTGTCCCCCTTAATAACTTTTTATGCTTCCCCAGGGAAGTACACCTTACACTTTGGAAGCACTGCACTAGAATAAAAAGTTGAATGAAGAAACATTCATCTTCATGAAGAGTACCTTCATAATTATACTGGAGCCAGTAGTTGTTGCACATTATTGTCATGCTAAAAAGTAGAAACTTAAGATGCATGTTTTTTGAAGTGTTTTATTTTGTGCAACTAGTGCAGAGCAAAATATCTAGTAGTGAATGCTTACTGTATGCACTATACCAGTGCTTCCCAACCTTTTTTTGCCGCAACCTGCTGCTAGGAGTGGAGTGGAGTGTGGTGGCAGCCCGGGGGCGGGGGAGCTCCCGGCACATCCTTTGTGTGCAGTGCTGCTGGCATTGTCCCTGTGACCCTCATTTGGGGTTATACCAATAAAGAGATATTGCTTCCAGATTAAATATCAGTAAGGTGGTATAATCTAAATATAGATCAGTTCAGAAATGTTTGTAAACCTAACTCTCTAAATTCAGATCATGGTAATTTTTTTCCCTTTAGAAGCAATACAAGGAACAGAGAAATTCTGCAATTTTAAAAAAACAAAGCAAAAAATTCTCTCTCATTTTCTGTAATGCTTTTTATATGGTCATTCTTATAGGTAAGAAATTCATTTATAAAAAAATATATACAAGTCATTGGTGTAATTATGTAAAGATTTTTCAGTTACTCTCCTTAACTCCTCCAGTCCACTACTGTATATCACTGAAAATAATGGGAGTAAAAACTGTGTTAAACTTTTATAGGTAACTATGGCTTGAGCTTGCCTCTTGGAGAAGAATATGAACGAAAAAAACATAAACTGAAGGAGGAACTCCGACAAGATTATAGACGATATCTTTCTCAGGTAAAATCTTTGGCTTGTGGCCTGATTTTACTCTATCTTTAACCAATACAGAAAACACTCTCAAATGCCTTTTTGAGAAGACTGGATTTATTCTGAGCTGTGAAAGTATCTAGAGAATTATTTTCAAGTCATATCAGCAGGTGCTACGTGTTGTAGTTTTTCATACATCCTGGTGCCCCAAGATCTTATTTTATTCTAATAAAAGTTGTTTAAATGTAAAAATAACAAAAAACAAACCCATAAAACCTTTTTTTTTCCCTGTCTCCTTTTTAATTTTTTACTATTAACTGATCAGGCAGTTACTTAAGTAGTTTTCTATATTAAGCATGAGCAGGTTGGGCAAGATATGTATTTATTTAGTCAGAAAACTGTCTCATTTTTCAGCTTTTACAGTTCCACTTATTTTAGTATAACAGAAGGTTGCTGTTGGTCTTAGTACAATTTAGGAGATTATTAAAACTTGATCTTGTATGGTTGAAGGCCTGGTATAATCTCCATTTTCATTTGGAATATTCTAAATCTAGTCCAATCTAAATCTAAAGTGAAAAACACTCAGATCCCTTAACTTCTGCTGCTTTGTAAGCACCTATTACTGTTGTCTATCATTGTGAATTGACACTGGAAAAGGTACGTACAGTAGTTGTTTTGGTTTTTTTAGTACAATCAAGTGGTTGTAATGGAAGATATTTCACGAATAGTATGTTTTCCCTGACTTTTAGGGTATTTCACAGGCTAAAAGAAAGGTAGGGTGCCTGCAGTATGTGGTTTTTTTCCTCCCCTTAAATTTAGTAGCTTCTTCCTTTGCTTCAAATGAGCTGTTTTGCTGACTTGGATTAAGATAATTTGTTTCTGTGCTTTTGTGCATTTGTACGTGCTGTAGTTGTGACTAATTGTATTTGTATGCCCGCTTTCTGCAAAATGACATGCTATGCTTTTTAACCTTCTGTATAATTTTACAATAGTTGTTGATTTTTGTTTATTTTGGTTTTGGTATTACCCTTGCATTTGCTTGTATTGCTCTATCATGCTGATTCTAAAAGAATGTTTTTATGGTAGATTTTTTTTTTTGCTACAAGGCACGCCACTCTTCATTCGTAACATTAGATGGGCAGTATAAGTTAAGAATGTTTTTAATGGACTTATTCCAGAAAACAACATCTTGGAAGAATTACCTATTAGTGAAGTATGTCCTGAAGTTTGTAAAACGCTTTAAAAAACAAAACAAAGCCCTTCAGGGCTTTTTCTGCTCCTCTGTCATAGTAAGTATCATGTCAGCAAGAGAGAAATTGACACCCTAGAAAAAACAGTGGAGCTGATATCCCACAAACTTTGGTACTAAGTATAGCAATTAAAAGAATTTGAGAGGGAGAAGAAAATTATTGCCAACCCTTTTCAGTTAACTTAAGCATAACTATAGTTGGTAAAGACTTTTTTTTTTAATGTAGTGATGTCCTTTTTAAATAACTTTAAATTTAACTAATGTGGGGTTGGAGTGTTGTTGTAGCTATGATGGTCTGTAAAATACCTTGTTTCTTTCTCAGATCTGAAGAATGGCACTTCTTGCTTGTAAACTTGTCTAACTTATCTATCCCAGCTATGCAGTTGGTTCAGTAATAGATAATTGCCACGCCCACCTTGCTTTTCTTAAACTAAATTTTTTTTGAATGAAGGATGGGTGGGATAGTAAAAATAGTAGTAGAAAAAGACTAAATGTGTATAGGGTTTTACCCCACAAAATATTATCTGAAACGATTTATTTTTTAATATGTTTATGTTAATGACTGCATTGGCATATGCCAGAAATATGATACAAAAACAACTGCAATAGTTGGCTTTTTAAATTCTGATTAAGTAATCTTTTATTAGACAATCATTGATATTTTTTTCTTTTCTCTTCCTTAGTTTGAAATTCAGATACAATTGTAAACTAATCTGATAATATGGAAAATAATGCTGTTTTAATAATGAATTGTTTTATTTTCATTTGAAATATCAATAGTTCATTTCATTTTTCTTAACTTTTCATATTTAGGACTTTGATCTTGAGCTATTAAGAAATTAACAATTTACTTTGTATCTTGCATATATTAGGCATGTTAAACTCTTTTACAGTTTATGGAGGAAATTAGATACTGATCTCTAGTTTCTTTCTCCAAAGTAAGTTGATACAGTGACCGCCTCTCAGAACGCTAATGCTTTCATTGGTAACCTAACAACTATGCATACACAGAGAGCAGTTTCTAAGCTAAGTGCTGACTATCTACAAACATCTTGTTAAAAGTGGGAAGTTATCACTAGTCCTGTTTTAAATACACCATTAATTAAATACTGGCAAGGATTACAGTTAATTCATTAGCATTTTTTAAACAAAAATGTCAATGAATAATTCCTTCTATTAACCTTACTCATTGTCAGTATCTGGGTGTTTGTATAGTTGCTAAATCCTCTAAATCCATGAAGTTGTTATATGTCCTATATGGGTATTATCTGGAACAGACAAATTTTTCTTGTCTCTTTGTATGCCAGAACAAAAGAGAACTTTATTGTAACAGAACAAAGGAAAACTTTTCTAACGAAATAAGACATCTGATTTTTTAAACACTATTAACTTAAAAACACAAAGGCAATATATTTTTTTATGTAAAATAAATTATCAATTTAAGATCTACCAAGTGTGGTTTTTTTAGGGAATTTAGTAGCTGCTTTTAATAAGCCATTTAGTTCTGAAGGCTTATATTTTTGGAAAGTTTTAGCCTTTCTTAACTGACATTAGACATTTTGACAGGCTGAAGATTTTATAGTTTTGATAACAGATATTGGTAATCTTGACATAGAAACATTACTGTGTGATTAGTTATTGGAGATCTCTGTCATTGGCAGCCCCCCAAATATTCAATTTGGGATCATTGAGATGAGCCTGATAGGATATCATTTATGCATAAAAATCAATGAAACTTTAACTTCTGTTTTGTTTTGCTTTTGTTGGCTTGTATTCCAAAAATATCTTTCATTCCAAAACATAAAGTTTGTCTTCAGTTTGCTCCATTTTATTAAAAATAATTATCCTGATATATTTCAGGAGATGTAATTGCGAAGTTCTATGTTGTGTGTTTGCTAGCAAGGAAAAATTGGTTGTTCAAAATTTATTGAATCAGTCATTTTTGTTATTCAGAAAAATTATTTGACTACTGCTGAAGTAGATCCATATACTCAGGGACTATCTCTTCCCATTGATGAGAGAAGATCTGCCAAGGTACGTGTACAGAATAAATTAAGCTGTCAGTGGTGTGGAAAAAGAGGCTTCCCAGTTAACAATTAAAGAAACCTCCAAACTACCACCACAATTCCTCCTTTTTATTTGCATATGAATGTGCTCCATTGTCATTAGGCTAAGTTAAAAATAAGTGAAACTTTTTAAAATTTATAATAGGCTGTTTGGCAAGTAATTATCAAGATTCCCCTTTATTGGAGAATGTGTACATCAACTTGTAGGTAATTTTAAATTTTGCTTTGATGGTACCTGATTCTGGGCTAGGACCGGCACATGGTGCTATTACTTGTCTGACCTTAATATCCAGAAGACTTGGTCATAAACTGGGACCCCATTGTGTTAGATCCTGCTTACAAATGTAGAACAAAATGATAGTCTCAGCCTCCAAAAACTTATCTTTCAAGTTTGTTTTCCAGATCGCTACCAGTTGCACAGTTCTTTCCAGAGACATGTCTATGTAGAAAGTACAAGGTGCATCGAGCTTCATTTCCTATAAATATGTGGATTTTTTTTGTGGATTTTTATGTATAAATATGTGCATTTTTTTGGTTTTATTTCCTTTTCATTATGGCCTAGGGAAAAGATTGCTTTTGTAGTCTTTAGCATTTATTGAGTCTACAGATGGACAAAACACTACCACAGTCAAGAATATACTATACCAAATAATTCTTTGATTTATTTTTTTCTCTATGCATAGCATACACTCTTTGGATGTGATAGTGACACCTAAATAATTCAGGCAGATACCTAAAGAAGGATCTCCTAGACAAGGAGGACTAGGAGGAGCGGCCTCAAACTGCAGCAGAGTAAATTTAGGTTGGAGGTTAGGTGGAACTTTCTAACTATGAAGGTAGTCAAGCATTGGAAGAGGCTACCTTGAAGTTGTGGATACTCCATCCAAGAGCAGGTTGGATAGACACTTGGCTGGGATGGTTTAGTTGGGGATGATCCTTTTTTGTGTAGGGGGCTAGATTAGATGACCTTGTGAGATACTTTCCAGCTTTACTTTTCTGTGATCCTATGAACTCAAAACCATTAATACAGCTATCCTTCCAACTCTTAGTTTTACAGCAAGACCAAACTGCTGGAAGGTGGCAGTCTGTGCAGCACTGATTAATTAGTACCTAGTGATTTGACATTGATACTTGGATTTCTGCGTTCCCTACAGTATAAAGTCTCCTAGTTTTAATAGTCATTTAGTGTATTGAGGTCCCTATTCAGCTATCTTGCCAACTTTGTGACTACTTAAAGTCTAAAACTGGTGTTTTATAAAAGCTGTTTCTCAACTGAGGAAAGTACTTTTCAGGCAACCTTCATGGTTGCCCACAAGTTTGGCATTATCATAGGCGGAAAGATTGAAAATTTAGCAGGTAGAATATCAGTTTCATTCACAAAACAATTGGTAAGATCCTAGACCCATGCAGATCTCCGTTTGTCTAAATAGAGACATGAGCTCTGGTTGAAACCTGTATCTTTGGAGGGCAATTGAATTGGCATGTATTGTTCATATATGAGTAACTTATTCTGAGTAGCTAAGTGACAGCAGAAAAAAATACTGACCTAGGTAGGGAAAATACATGGTTCATGAAATTGTAATGTAAATAAAAATGAAGAACAAAAATATTTAGGTTACAGATAAGGATTAGGCTCTCGCTGTACAAAGAGGCATTCACTGTTCTGAAAGCTGAGGGTAATAGTCTCAAGAAATAATTTTGACAGCAGTTTATTTTCCGCTGGAGACCGTCTGTGTTTATATTATCAGAGAATTAATCATTTCCATTTATTTCAAGATGTGTTGGGGGGTAGATGCTTCTTACTATTGTTACCCTTATTATGTGTGTTCGTATGTGCACGTACATGAGGAGAAGGATTTGGTAATGTTTCACCTTTACTCTTTTCTTTCTTTCTCTCTCTCTCTTAATCATACTTGCATGTCCACTCATGGTTTGATAGCATGCATATATCTTTGCATCACTCCTGTGTGTGGGTCAGCAATTATTTCCATTTTACTTTTGGCAGGCCTCCCTGGGCTGTAGAACTGCTACCATCACTCCCTCCTACCCATCTTCCCCTGTGAGGGAAAGGCTGGGCTGGAGCCCAGGCACCATCTTGGCAGTCTGAAACTATTGTTTCCCATCTGTGGGTTGTTTATTGTAAGCTGTTCTAAGTTTAGGATGGAATACAAATCTAATAAATAAAATAAAGCTGACAGATGGAGAAACGGAGGCATTGGGAGGCCACATGACTTGCTGAGAAGCCTTATGGCAGAACAGGGACTTGAACCCAGCCTTTCCAACTCCTAAGTGAGCAAACTAAACAATGAGTCATCCTTCCTCTGTTTGTTGCTTCTTTGGCCCCTAGCACACGTTCATTTAAAGATATAATGGGAGCTGATCCCCACTCCCAACAGTCATGCCTTCTGCCATGCCAGACTTGCATGGCAACAGTTGTGATCTTTGTGATCAGGGATATCGGATCCTAATTATGCCTTTCTACTTGCCAGTACATGGGGACCCCAGGAATTGGCTGACTGCATGCCCCTGAATGCATTGCAGCCGGTTCAAAACCCCAGTATGATCCCTAGGTGGCCAACAACTGATCATGCGATCACAGGGTCGTCTAATCCAGCCCCTTGCTTAAGGCAGGATTATCCCTGACTAAACCATTCCAGCCAAGTGTCTCCAGCCTGCTCTTGAAATTTCCAAGGATGAAGATTCCACAGTTCCTCTATGTATCCTGTTCTAGTGTAGACTATCCTCATAGTTGGAAAATTCCTCCTAATCTCCAACCTAAGTTTGCTCTGCTGTAGCTTGATGCAAAAGCTCTTAGTCCTGTCCTCTATGGCCACAGAAGAAAGCCCATCTCCATCCTCCATGTAATAGTCCTTCTGGTGTTTGAAGACTGTTATAAAACTCCCCCTCCCAGTCTTCTCTTTCCCAGACTAAATAATCCTAGTTCTTTCAGCCGTTCTTTGTAAATCTTGCTTCCCAGGCCCTAATAATTTTTGTTGCTTTGCACTGAACTCTATTTATTTGTTTGTTTATTTATTTATATCTCTCCACGTCCTTCTTGAAGTATGGGGCCCAAAACTGGATATGGTACTCCACATGAGGTCTCACTAGTGCTGGTTAGAGCAGAAAAACAGCTTCTCTTGATTTGCAAGTAACACTCTTGTTAAAACAGTCCAGTATGCTATTGACTCTTTTTGCAAAGAGCTCACTGTTGGCTTCCATTCAGCTTATGGTCCATTGTAACCCCCAGGTTTTTCTCTGCAGTACTGTAGTCTAGCTGGTTATTCCCCAATGTGTATTTGTGCATGCAGTTATCCAAGTGTAGGACTTTGCATTTGTCCTGATTGTTGGCGCTGGCCCAGATCTGCTTCATATTCAATTTAAGGCACCATACAAACCAGCCATAAAAATATTCCATGTTATATGTAGAATGTTTTTATGGCTGGTTTGCCACTTATGGTGCTTAAATAGGGTGCATGGGTAGCATGATTGCCATTTATGTTGCAATTAATATTAATTGTAATTTAAAATAATGTGTAGAAAGAGCCTTTATGCATGCAGGAAGTTAAAATCTGCCCAACTTTTTCCCCAGGAAATCGATTTAGGGGAGATACAGAGCCAACTGGCTGTGTGCAGGAGTGGCAAGGATAGACCTAGCTTTGTCCTGTTCGCTGTATACTGATCTGGAAGCAGAGGGGGAGGACATACTCCTTGTGGCAGGTCTCCTATGCAGCTCTTCCTCCCCTATACCCCACTCCTTTTCTCTTGGGTGTTCCAGTGGATCACAGGCTGCGCTTGGGTGTTGGCCTGTCCATTGGAGTGCTGCTGGGTGATATCCCAGCTGTGGCTTCTGGCCGTGCGGTACTGTGATTAGAATGGAAAGCTAACACAATGAAAATGAATAACTACATGTCACTCAACATGGGCAGGGCAGGGCTCTGTTGCCCCACGCTGAGCTGTTTCCTAAGTATTGGAGCGTAAGGGAGGGTTTTCTCTGTCTTCACCTTTTTTACTCCTCCCTCTTTTGGTATTCCTTGTTCTTGGGGCTTGCCATGGACATACTTCATGCATGGGCTCTGAGAATGAGGTTGCTGGGGTGCTGCAATGCATCGCCAGCGAGGTCCTTTCTCACTGAGCCCTGGGTGGCTCTTCCTCAGGAGGGCCTGCCTGCACTCACGTGGACTTTGGCTGGGTGGGAGTTGCCTGGCCTGGGGCTCCATGCTGCACTGAGGTGGGAGCCTAGTCAGGCACTTGACCCAGCTTGCCTCTGGCCCTGAGGGCTGGGGCCAGCTTCCCTGACTTACAGTCTGGTCGTGGCGTCTGTGGTGATGGGGGTAGAGGTGTTGACAGCAACTGCAGTGGCAGCGGCGTCTGTGGCAGCGAGCATCCAGTGCTGTTGGCAGTGTCTGGTCCTGGCTTGGGTGCCCGGCATCCTCTACTCTGGCCCCAGTTTCGGGGTGGTCTTTTATGGTGTGGCTGCTGTGCTGTGCCCCAATCCAACTCAACCTCACTTGGCTGCACAGTGGCACCTGGGCTGCACATGGCCCAATCACCTGTGGCGTGGGGATTACATACCCCCTCCTTGACCAATGCTATCAGTGAAACCACACATTGATACTAACTTTTTAAGGATATTTGTTTATTATTTAGATTTGTGTCCCACAACATCCAAAAGGTTGAGATGGCTACTCCATTGATGAATTTTGAATGGGCGCTGGGAGTGATCTGGAGATATTCAGCCCAAAAGTTGGTCCCCGGCATTGATTAACTCAGGCCAGGGCTTCTAGCCCTTGATCAGTGAGGTTTAGAGATTTCCCAGTTATTACATTGTCTTCTGTTGAATTCTTCTGTTGTTTCAGCTGCAGTGTCCCAGGTGTTAATTGCTGTCTGCTGCTACAGTGTTACACATTCAATCACTGATTCACTCACTCTTTCAGGGGCCAGCCTGATACAGGGAAGGGCAGTTTGATT